CCCGGACGTTCAAGTCCCTATCTCGCAGACACGTCCGTTAGATAGTGGTTACGCAATATGGAAGCTATGTTGAGCCCCGTTAGGGGAACCTGTTCAGCCAAATGTCCAGATAATGCAGATGATGCAAAGCAGAAACTTGCATTTCTTGCATCCCTAAAGCCTTCAAGATACCCAACATTAGCGCGAAAGCACTTTAAGCCGGTTCCAAAAAAGTGAAAAACACAGGATTCTAGAGCAAAAATGCACCCCCCCCTAGCTAAAGCTATAGTATACTGACGATACTAACGGATGCTCGCGCGCCCTATAAAACGCCTCAGCACCTTCGGCGCGGGCGGATTTATGTATATATGATATATGCCCTTCTAACTACGATGGCGTTTGTGCACCTCAAGCTCTAGTGGATGGTTAGTTGGGGGTCTTTAGTTGAGGGTGCTGCTGCCTTCGCTTCATTCTCAGGCTCTCTTTCTTGTCCATTGCACTGCCACCCCTCTGTGCTGGTCACTTTCTTCTCAGGCCTTTCCGTTGGCCTTCTCCTTGACCTTTTCTTCGGATTGGCCTCACCAGCCCCTTCGGCGTGGGAAAAGGAGTGAGTGCGGAAGCAGAGTTGTTATATATATATATATCCGTTAATGAAAGCACGCGTACGCATATCTGTAGCTGTGATTAGACGTGCAAAGTGGGACGGACCGTGGCTGAGCACACAAGGAGAAAGGAAAGAAGAAGGCATTTTTTTGCTATGGTCTGGGTTCGCGGAGCTCCTGGATCAAACAAAGTACTTGCTTGGAGGATGGCAAGAAAAAGGAGAAGAAAAAGAAGGTCCACGCTTCCTCAAGAGCTGGTTTGTTATCCAACCATCTATCCTAATCACTTTTCAGTGCTCTAGGGAAAGAAACGCAAGCGCTCCGCGCTCAGAATCTATATAAATTGAAAATGGGCGGTTTTTGCTCACGCCACATTGTTCTTCCACCTTTCTATATGAGGCTCTTCAACATCGTCATCGAAAACGTGACAATGCTTGAGCTTCTACGCTGGCAAACGGCCAGACATCCTGATCGGAGCGTTTTGCAAATGGATGGTCCTTTGCACTCTTCATGCCTCCTTGATTGTTTGCGCTGTACGTAACAGGGTTTGCTTGTCCAAGAGAAAGTTGATGGCTTTGCACAAAATGCACAAGCTCTACTTTGGCTCAGTCAAAAAAAGTGTTACTCCTAACGAGCAAGGGCGTGCAAGTATATACGGTTTTCCGGAGTTCAGAACTGAGGGTTTCGTAGATGGAAAGCATAGCCCAGCCAGTATATTCGGTAAGACATACGCTGGGAACAGAAGCCTGAAGGAGATGTCGATCAAAAAAGTTGGGGAGGTTGATCAGGTCGAGCCCTAGATTTAAAATAATGTATTTCCACCGCAGTTCTTCACACTTTGCCTTCAGCCCAAGCGCAATGCGTGCATTGGTCGCTTTCAAGTCTCTATCTCAGGTGTCTTTGAAGTGGGATTAGAATTATCAACAACCTTGAGTGTTGGCCACTGAGACCGGCTGGGAAACTCGAGGTGCAAGACCCTGGCAGTGTCCATCGTATTTTCTTTGGGATTTTCAGAGTCTTGGCTGTGTGTACACATTCGAATGCAGTATTTAGCTGTACTTGGATGTTAGTCCTAACGTAGACTTCTGTGTGTCCGCCGCACAGCTGGGGCACAAGGGTCTCACCTTTTGGAAGGTGGGGCGGCGCTGCCACATGCGCATTTTGATTTTTTCGTTGCTGGCGCACGGCCATGGTTGGTGGGGCAACTCCTCCAGGGTGGAGGAGGGTCCGGCCTTAGGTCCTTGGCGTGCCTGGCTTCACGAGGCCTTCCCGGTGGCGGCGGACCGCTTGACGCAGGCGGAGCAAGGGGCAGAGACTGTCCGGCAGTACTTCGAGGAGACGGAGTACTCGCCTTGGAGCCACGGCATCTGGTGGGCCATAGACGCACTGGTCAGCCCATTAGGCTGGGCCATCTTCGGCGCTGCCTGCGGCAGGTTGGTTCAGCTGGGAGGGATCTTGTTTCTATGCCTGGCTGCCCACTACATGTGGGCAGTCTGTTATCCTGTGGTCACCGTCTTCGTTGGCCTCCTCATGGCGGTCCTATGGCTGCTACGCCGTGTCTTGAGGACCTTTGGCACCATCACCTTCTACGTCCAGCAGTGGGTAGGAGGCGCCCCTGAGGTCGATGACGTGGAGATGTGGGGCCCTGCTACTGGCTCCCCACCGGAGACCAGCCATTTGAGACAGTTCAAGCCGCCAGGGTCTGGTGAACGTTGGGTAGCTGTTCGGAAGGGGGGGCTCAGGGCGGTGTTCCGCCTGGGCTCGGAGGGTCAAACGATTCGCTCCCACGGCCTCTACGTGCAGGTGGACCCCGATGGAATCCGAGGCGACCCTTCGCTGGTGAGTGAACTTCGACGCACCGATCGACTCCACTTGTGTCGCCACCTGGCTTGTCCCGAAGAAGGAGGCACCCATGTCCAGGAATATGGAGTGGTAAAGGCTTTCAACCCTGAGCGCTTTCAGTATGTGCTCGTGCCACAAGTGCTCAGATATGGTCTTGGATTCGAGGCTCTGGAGCGGAGGTTCAACGGCTGGCCCAACGTGCTCGCGAGTATGCTTCGGAGTCCGAGGCTGAGGAGGACAAGGTGAACTGTCTTGCAGGCCTCATTAGTTGGGAGACCGCTGAGGGTGCAGAGCAGCTGGGTCATGGCCAGGAGCTGGGCTGAGTTCAAGATGCTTCTCAGGGAGGACTACCCGAAGGGCATTACCAAGGTGGGCCTTTGCGCAATGCACACAGCCAAGTACCTCCAGTACAGGTTCCTTCAAAGGTGCAGCTTCGTGGGTTGCGAGCGGGTGGGCACTGCTTGTGAAAAGGGTGTGCAACTGTGCTTAGACCATGCTCGTCCAAAGGGTCGAATCAAAAAGACACCAAAAGAGGGGGAAGTGGCTACTTCGGCGAGCTCACGGCGAACACGTTCTCGGTCGAGGAGCCGGAGGACCAGATCGAGAACGAGGAGGAGGCAGAGCATTATGAACCGGGCCGGAGGCTGAGGTCACGCCGGTGCGTCGGACTACACGCCAACCATCTCGTTCTCCCGGCCACACGCCCAAGTCATCCATCCATCGTAACCTGGCAAGGATTGGGACGCTCAACTCACCGGGTGGGGAGGAAGAGCCAACCGCGCTTCAGGACTTCGTGGAGAAGCTCGCCGACGGCAAGAGTATGGGCATGAACGAGAAGCAGGTCCGGGACTACCTCGCCAACAAGCACGTCATGACCACGGAGGACATGCTGCGGAGGTTGATTTCGGAGGCGGAGGTCGAGCAGGCCAGAGGACAGCGGGGACTCACCAAGTTCTTGGTCCGTTGGCGAGATGAGCTACGGGCGTGTGAACGGCTTCACAGTCGGGGGGAGTCGGATTGGAGCGTCATCTCGAGGCAACCTACCCCCGGAACCAGTCCTGAGACTTTGAGTTCAAGCGTGATGGAGAGACCGCCAGGTTTGACGGAGGCACCGCCAAAAGTTGAAGCACAACCAGGTGTGGGCTTGAAGATTGCGGCCCCGTCCGTCTACAGGAGCGACCGGAAGGCGGGAGCCGGGGAGGCCGAGAGGGTCGAGCCCATGGCAAAGATTGCCCAAGCCATCCAGCGCCAGACTACGAAGCTCGCAACGCTGGTTCGCAACCAGGCCGACACCACATCACACCCCAGCGGCAGTCTCAAAGGTTTGGGACGGGCGGCGGAGGAGGTCGTGTACGTGTTGAGGGCGTGTGGACAATATCAGGTAGGCCTGGGAGCAGGTGAACATGGGCAAGCTTTGGCTAACGCACTGTTAGCAGCTCAAGTGGGGGCTTCTTCAAAGCTCCGAGCTTCCGGTTTCCGCCAAAAGATGACACAACGCCTAGCAGTAGGCCTGGCGGGTGGCTTCTGGGGCACGCGTGAACGACATTGCTTGGGCGCGGCGGAGTTCATCACCTACACCGATGCCGAGCTCGATGCCTTCAGCAGTGAGGCCAGAAATAGCAAAGGGGGAGGCGATCAACGACCAGCTCAGCCCCAACGGCTTGATGAGTGGTTGGTGAGGGTCAAACGACAGACGGATGTCTGGTGCCTGATCTATGGGGCCG